AGCTTTAAATGTCATCAATACACCAACAACTGACAAGTTTAACCTAGACCTCACTGCTGATCTTGAATCTGATATGTATGTCTATCTAATCATTGGTTCCTTCCGGTGATCTACTATGCATCTCAAACTTAACATGTCAAAAACAGATTGCAGACAACACTGCCAAATCCTCCACCTATACAGACAAAATTCACTTCTCCCCAAATCATCTCCCTATTTAGCAAATGGTATCTCCATCCTACAAGTTGCTCAGGCCAAGAAAAGTCATAGCGTTATCCATGATTATTCTCTTTCTCTAATTTCCCACATCCAATCCAACAGGAAATCTTTCTGATTCTACTTTCTTTCTTTCTTTTTTTTTTTTTTTTGAGACTGAGTCTCACTGTGTTGCCAGGCTGGAATGCAGTGGCACAATCTTGGCTCACTGCAACTTCTGCCTCCCAGGTTCAAGCAATTCTCCTGCCTCAGCTTCCCAAGTAGCTAGGACTACATAAGCACGCCACCACGCCCAGCTAAGTTTTGTATTTTTAATAGAGATGGGGTTTCACCATGTTGGCCAGGATGGTCTTGATCTCTTGACCTCCTGATCCAACCGCCTTGGTCTCCCAACGTGCTGGGATTACAAGCGTGAGCCACCGCGCCCACTCTGACTCTAGTTTCAAAACATACCAGTCTCTGATACTTTTCAACCCCTCTGTGCAAACCCAGGTTAATCCATGTTATTTCAAGTTGAAAGCTGGTCTTCTAAAAGATGAGAAAGGAAGACTAGAGCAATGTATGGAAAAAAAAAATCAAAAACATAAAAAACGATCAGCAAATAAGGTAGAAAGAATTAGGCTGATCCAGAAGCGAGCATGAGACTGAGTGTCAGGCAGACCCGGATTTGAACCCTGGCTCTGTGTGTATCGGCTCTGGGCCCCGGGGTAAGTAATTTAACATCCATAATCTTCCATTCTGATAACTATACATAGAGCTAATCATACCTGCCTCAGAAGGCAATTGTGAGGATTAGAGAAGATATGTTTAAAGTAGGTACTCAATAAATAATAGCTCCTGTTAAGATTATTAATAGGCTATTCAACTAATTTTTCAAGTTAGGAAACATTAGACTTACTGTTTCCCTTGAAAATGAAAAAAAAAATCATTCAATTATAAGCCTAAAGCTCACATTTTAAAAGTAGATAATGAGATAATGTTTAAAAATGTAGGTGGGGAGAGAAAATGAGCTTCTTTCACCACATGACAAAGGTGCATGTATTAGAAAAGTAAACTCACACAAGGAGGATAAAAATAGGTACAGAAAGGCCAGGCATTTATCCTAAGTTTGCTCACGCCTATAATCCCAGCACTTTGGGAGGCCGAGGCAGGCAGATCACAAGGTCAGGAGTTCGAGACCAGACTGGCCAGCACGGTGCAACCCCATCTCTACTAAAAACACAAAAATTAGCTGGGCTTAGTGGTGTGTGCCTGTAATCTCAGCTACTCAGGAGGTTGAGGGAGGAGCATCGCTTGACCTTGGGAGGCAGAGGTTGCAGTGAACCAAGATCAGGCCACTGCACTCCAGTCTGGGCAACAGAACAAGACTCCATCTCAAAAAATAAAAATAAAAATAAAAAAAACAGGTGCAGAAGCTTGACCTGCATTTCAATATGTGTGAAGCACCTTGAGTCAAATGCTCATTTTTAAATGGCATCTCTGGGTATATAACAAATGTGATGCCATCTGACTTATGCTATCAATCACGTGGGTGGGAGGAACGCAGAAATGTCCTCCCATCTTCAGTCAAAAGCTGTACTTTCTTAGACATGGAAAGCAATATATTGGGTTTTCATATTTAGATTGTTAAATTTTTAAACATTTAAACTTTTTATTGATGCATAATAGATGTACATAGTTTCAGGGTACGTGTGATCATTAAATACATTCATATAATTTGTAAAGATCGAATCAGTGTACTTGGGATATGAAAGCTGTATCTCTTTGGATGATGTATAAACTTGTGGAGAAAAACATACCCATACGGATTTATGTAATCTTGCACAGCAGGTACTTAATAAATGCGGGGTGATGATGAGGTGGAAAATATGAAACTAAAGGACCTTGTAAAAGTGTAAATATCCATAATCAGCCTCATCTCATCTCTCTAAAAAATGGTATACTGCATTATTTCCTGAGATTAGAGATTTATCAACAGCTTCACGCTTGTAAGCAGACCATTTGTTTGATATTACACCAAGTTAAAGCCCTACTAGTGTCTTGTCTTTATTAGCTCACCAGGAATTAAACAGGTTTTAGCATGCATTTGCAAGTTTAAAAAAATTTATGAAATTAAGAATTATTTCATTCTATACCCTGTCAGACTTGTGAATAAGTGTTGTCTCATGCATATAGAGAAAACACAGGTTAACAGGTGGATTAATACAGACTTATTTGCTACTAAGTTCAAAGAATTCTTCCATGATGAATTTTGCTGCCACTGACATTAATTAAAAGCTCCAGTGTTTGAGAGGAAAGCCTAATTCAATCTACCTCCCCATCCCTGGTATCAATTTTCCCCCAACATTTATCCTAAGTTTGCCTGGTCATATTGTGCTCAGCACTGGGAACTTCTAGCATATTTATATCAGAACGTATCTTGCCTGCCACCCCCATCCCCCACACTTTTTTTTTTTTCCTTGGAGACAGGGTCTTGCTCTGTCACCCAGGCTAGAGTACAGTGGCACCATCATAACTCACTGCAACCTCCAACTTCTGGTCTCAAGCTGTCTTCCCACCTCAGCCTCCCAAGTAGCAAATAGCTAGAACTACAGGTTCGTGCTACCACACCCAGCTATTTTTCTTTTTTTAAAAATTTTTAGTAGAGATAAGGTTTCACCATGTTTCCCAGGCTGTTTTTAAACTCCAGATGGCTTTGAACTCAAGCAATCAGCATCTGAAAGCGCCGGGATTACAGGAACAAGCCACCACGCACAGTCCTCGCCTGCCTTTTTAAAGCCTAACAGTCTACTAAGAATGAAACATTGATCCTTCATCTTTGTTTCATCCCAACTCAAGACGCATCTTTTATGATTGGAATCAATATAAAGGTGGATATCTAAGTAACCTGTAATCAAATAAAGAAAAAAGGATAGCAATTATCCCATCTTCTAAGGTAACTGGTATTTTTACTAGAATTTTAAAATATTCTGCATATATATATATACACACACACACACACAAATTTTTGTTCCCAATAACCAAAATAGAAACATTTGTAAAATAAGCTTCAGTGGGGTGGCTCACGCCTGTAATCCCAGCACTTTGGGAGGCCGAGGCGGGTGGGTCATTTGAGGTAAGGAGTTCGAGACCAGCCTGGCCACATGGTAAAACCTCATCTCTACTAAAAACACAAAAATTAGCCGGGGATGGTGACGCGCACCTGCAGTCCCAGCTACTCAGGAGGCTGAGGCAGGAGAATCGCTTGAACCTGGGAGGGAGAGGTAGCAGTGAGCTGAGATCACGCCACTGTACTTCAGCCTGGGTGACAGAGTGACTCTGTCTCAAAATAATAATTATTAATTATAATTAGTATGATATAATTATTAATAGTAATAATAATTATTATTATTTAGGTTCCAGCCAGATTCTGATCCAGAAGTAGAAGACTGGAGACATGGGGCTTAGGGAAAGGATTCTAGATGCTCAGGTAGGGGTTGGAGATGAGAATCACGAGGCTTAGGGAAGGGATTCCACAGATGCTCAGGTAGGGGAGAGAGCAAGTGGGTTCCCACGGTAACTTTCTTAGTTACATGTAAAATCTATTTGGCAAATGACCCCACACATATTCTTTTTGAAAAAAGCAGAACAAGAGTGTTTTCTCGTGATGAATTTTTATCTGAGTGCAACCACTCGACGGCATAAATATCTGACTTCTGGCCTATGCTTATGGCATTTCATGATTCTTCTGGAAATGTTCAGCCTTGAAACCTTTATGTTTGGAATATTGTCTTTAAATTAGGTTGTAAAATGTCCAGTTATGAAATATATACCAAGTGTTCTTTTTAATCACTTAAAGCTCCAAGTGAAGAAAACCTGCCTGGCATTAGATAAATATCTTGAATGTGAGATAGGCAAGAACACCTTGAAATAATGCTTAACTAATCACAAAGCAACTATTCTGCAATAGATGGGTGAACCACTAATTAGATGAAGAGAAATAAAACTGTCATGGTAGGATAAAAGGATAAAGAGAAATAAGCAGTAATTACTGTTTTATCGTCAGAGAAAGTCGTATCAAACACGGCTCAATAAAAGGAGGGGGAAAAAGCCCACAGTCTATAAGTAAATACCAGCACTCATTAAATTAGTACTAGGAGCAAAGCCCAACTCAGGGATGACAATGACATCTTAAAAAGTACATTCAAAAAAGAAAAAAAATTGACTGCAAAGTTGAGTAAGGGTGCTTTAGTTTTAGGGCACGCAACATTCTGAAGAATAATATTGGCCAGGCGCGGGGGCTCATGCCTGTAATCCCAGCACTTTGGGAGGCCGAGGCGGGCAGATCATGAGGTCAGGAGATCGAGACCCTCCTGGCTAATATGGTGAAACCCCGTCTCTACTAAAAATACAAAAAATTAGCCAGGTGCTGTGGCGGGTGCCTGTAGTCCCAGCTACTCGGGAGGCTAAGGCAGGAGAATGGCGTGAACCCAGGAGGCGGAGCTTGCAGTGAGCCAAGATGGTGCCACTGCACTCCAGCCTGGGCGACAGAGGCAGACTCAGTCTCAGAACAAAATAAAACAAAAGAAAAAAAGAATAATATTACACGGTTGTTTGCTTGAAATGCTTAAAAATATGCAAGCCAGTCCTAAAACAGCTGTTTGTTAAAGATTAGGATAGGACCCCTAGACTAGTTTGCTCTTTTCAAACCATTGGTAACCTTAATTGGTACACTTACTGTGTAGATGGTGCCAGCAAATGACATTAAAATTGTATTTGAAGCTTTAATGTTTGGAGCAACTTACATTCTGTTGCTTGGAATAATCTTGTGCCCTTCTCTAAACCAAGTCACTTGAGGTCTGGGGTAGCTGGTGATGGGCAGCAGGTTTAGAATTGCTGCACGTCCTTGAGGAACTGTTTTCCTCTGGTCCGTATCCGTGAAACTTCCCATGTCTGCAGAGAAAAAGAGCGCTTTCAAGTTCTAGAAAACATTTCTCGGGGAGGGAAGGGGTCACAGATGGAAACAGGTACGTGTTACAGTGAAGTCACTGATGCTGCCACATGTCACACCAGGACAAGTGAGACTGCAGGGCAGCGCTGACCAACGCACATCTGCCTGTGAGTGAAGCACAGGACAAGCCAAGCCACGCGCCTCTCAAGCGCCCACGCTGCGCGTTCGTCAGCAAAGCCACATGGTGTTTGTCCTACCTGACAATACAAGGGAACGTCTGCAACTGTCTGATACTGAAAATGAAGTGCTGAAGCCATCCTAGAACCACATAAAGCAGTTTTCTCAGAAACTGTCAGAAAATGCATCTGGATGTCTCCTAGCTCATAAATCTTTCAAACTCGTTCCAGCCCGGCACCGGCCCTTCAGCTTGTTCCCTTCAGCTTGTTCCCTTCATTTGTGAGGTCACTGTCTCCCGCACAGATCTTTTGGGAGCAATACTTCCTAACCACTGAAGAGTCTATACAGCATTCCCCCACTCCCATACTGTTGACTTAATTTGGGGCAACTAGCCTTTGTTCCAGTATTTGTTCTACTAGTAAAAAAACGTTTAAAAAATGGAGTCACAGGACAAAACACAGCTATTAGAATGTAGGTATAAATGGCTAATTTTAAAATTAGTAACATTTGAAATTTTTGAATAAAATTCCATATGATGGTCAGATGCAAATAAAAATATACAAATAGATAAGGCAAAATAGTGTATTTTTATTTAAATGTAAATAAGTTTGAAATATTCCATGGAAGTGCTCTATTATCAATGTCTTCTGGAGTTGAAAGACATTTTCTATGTGATAGTATCTAATATTTGAGGGAAAAGATTAAACAAACCAACAAAACAGATTAGAAAAATATTCATATTTTAAAAGACAATGAAATTTGTTATCAAAGCAAAGGAGAAAAGAAAGATTAAAAAAAAAAATCTAAAGGCAGAGCAGTGGTTGTCATCTATAATCCCAACACTTTGGGAGGCCAAGGCGGGCGGATCACCTGAGGTCAGGAGTTTGAGACCAGCCTGGCCAATATGGTGAAACCCCATCTCTACTAAAAATACAAAAATCAGCTGGGTGTGGTGGTGGGCGCCTATAATCCCAGCTGCTCGGGAGGCTGAAGCAGGAGAATCACTTGAACCTGGGAGGCGGAGGTTGCAGTGAGCCAAGATTATGCCACTGCACTCCACTCTGGGCAACAGAGGCAGACTCCGTCTCAAAAAAGAAAAGAAAAAAAAAAAATCTAAGAGCTAGAGATACAGAATAGGCACTAAAACATTAAGCAAAATTCAATTTTATAAGACAGAATATAATAATTTTGAAGCTCTTCTTAAAACATAATTTAGGTATTGATCTTCACTCTAATAATTACATTTTCAATCATTCAACTGAATAAAAGTTCTCAATTATTCTGCAACATTCTTCGACATCACAATTTAAAAAAACTTAAGCCTTCCTAGTGATTTTAAAAAGCAAACATGTATAGCATCACCACTTCACCCAATCATTAGGCTTATGGTAGAATAACTAGATATTTATTTTATTTCACCTACTCACACTGAAAGCTACAAGCCTTAATTGGGGTTAAAATGACAAATGAGGAAATTCTGTCATCACCAAAAAGTACAGCCCAACTCAGGAGCTCTTTCATTCTCTAAAGTTTATAATGATATATTAAAATGTAATCTAACATCTTACAACATTGTTTTGCTTACTTTTAAACAAAGAGAAATTTTGGTAGTACATTCAAGATATAATAAATATAATAAAACAAGTCAGGCTCACTCCTGTAATCCCAGCACTTTGGGAGGCTAGAGCAGGAGAATCACTTGAGGCCAGGCATTAGAGACCAACCTGGGCAATGCAGTGAGATCCCTCCCCTACCAAAAACAAAAGAAATTAGCCAGATTAGCCAGGCATGGGGCACACATCTGCGGTCCCAGCTACTCGGGAGGCTGAGGAGGGAGGATCACTTGAGCCCAGTTCAAGCTTGCAGTGAGCTATGTTTGTGCCACTGCACTCCAGCCTGAGAGACAGAGATAGATCCTGCCTCAAATATATATTTATTTATATATATATAACATATATCACATATATATGACATATAATTATATGTTATGTCTCTATTTTATATACACATATGTATGTAAGGTAAAGTAGGCAGTCCATTTTTACTCTTCACAGATTTTGAATTAGAAAAAGGACTAAATACTTTGCATAGGCCAAGTTTGCTCTCCTGTTTCTCCTCAAGACTACATGAAAATTTAAGCTTCCTGCATTCTTGATGTCTCCTTCGTTTACTTTTACAAGTTTCATTCTCCAAAAAGGATCTGCTGAATAAAGAATTAATAAATCACTATATCACATGAATACCATCGGGGATGCTCACTATCCATGTGCTTTTTGTGGTGCGGCGTAAAGATTTCTAAACAAATCGTCACTGGAAAGAACTGACAATGAACGAACTTTGACCTAGATGGGCTGAACTTTATACTTTAATAACATTTTGAATCCAAACATAGTGCAAGCTAAAAGCAGCTGATTCATAAGACAGAAGGCATCCCATTCACTTTTTCATCCTCCCGGGGCCTTGTAGGATCCTGAGTCTTTTCAAATGAAGAAAAGTGGCCTTTGCCTCATCAGCCCCTTGCCCGGCCAGCCACGCTGGCTGCTTACTTATCTCTCACTGAGTTGAGCAATTATTCTACCCGGAATAGGACCAAAGATAAAATCTTAGTTCCTACAACGGTGAAAAGTGATTCTGATTTACTCCCCAGCGACACTCTATTCTGCAACATTTGGACATCTCCGTACTGTACACATACATGCGACTTGAACTTCTGATTTTCTTTGCAGGAGTGCTCCCATTCTGTTTCGCACCACGCAGCGGTAAAACCCAGCATCGAGCTTCTGCAAAGATGGAATAATATACCTGTTGAATAGCAAAAAGAAGTGTTAATGCTTACATCCAGTGTTCAACAGTTATATCTAACCATTAGGTGCTATTTTATCAAACAACACTGGCATCTCATCTAGTCTACGCTCAACGAATATTTTATTTTTGGTACCCTAGTATCTGCGCAATCCTTCCCTAACCATGAGGCTAACTAGAACTACCGTTTATTTCTGAGATGATTGCCCTGATACCTGTCTCGCCAACTGGGCTATAAATATCACCCAAAGCTAGGATCTGCTTCTGTCTTATTCATCATTGTAACCGTGGTAGCTAACACAGCGCCATGCACACAGGGGATATAACTCACAACTGGCTGAATGAGAAAGGTTAAATCATTAAAAGTCACTGCATTTAAACTAGCCCTCTCAATCAAAAATCATTTATAACTCTCTCTCTGTAGAACGTCAGAATTTCCAAAGATTATTTCTAGAACTGACAACAGTCTGAACATGATGCCTTGTGTCACTCCACACAAAGGGGCAAAGAACACTTTCAGGATGAGATGTAGAACTCGTCAGGGCAGAGAAAGCAATGCCATCAGGACGGCTCTCTCCAGTCACCAACATGGACGTCTCTCAGCATAATGTATTCACTTCCTTTCCTAACTTCTCCATGTATGCCCTGATGTTAACTTTAAAAACTTTTTCAGAGGTTAAAAAGTCATTTCATATGTATTTTCCACTTCTGCAACTGTAAGTAATCATCCTTCAAATCCATGCCTGTCTACACTTTTTAGTATAATTTCAAAGGAAAAAAAAAATAATTAAAAGACAGAGTTTCTATAAAAGCCTTGCTTTAGGTTTACTGCTGGTTTTGTAAATTAGGATGTTTTAAAATCCACCAGCAAGTAAAGATAGGTAACCAACAGCCACTTGAAATGAGTCTTACAACTCCGGAGCCCACCCCTTATAAGCTGCCCAAGATGGTACAGTAATTGAGTTGTCGGCCACATTCAGAGACAAATTAAGAGTAAGGTGTGAGCAAACTATATAGCTAAGAAAGAGTTAATATCTAGGCCGGGTGCAGTGGCTCAAGCCTGTAATCCCAGCACTTTGGGAGGCCGAGACAGGCGGATCACAAGGTCAGGAGATCGAGACCATCCTGGCTAACACGGTGAAACCCCGTCTCTACTAAAAAATACAAGAAAATAGCCGGGCGAGGTGGCGGGCGCCTGTAGTCCCAGCTACTCGGGAGGCTGAGGCAGGAGAATGGCGCAAACCCGGGAGGCGGAGCTTGCAGTGAGCTGAGATCCGGCCACTGCACTCCAGCCTGGGCGACAGCGCGAGACTCCGTCTCAAAAAAAAAAAAAAAAAGAAAGAGTTAATATACAAAATACATGAGAGGTCGGGCGTGGTGGCTTCTGCCTGTAATCCCAGAGGCTGAGGCAGGCAGATCACTTGAGGTCAGGAGTTTGAAACCAGCTTAGCCAACATGGTGAAACCCAGTCTGTACTAAAAACACAAAAATTAGCCAGTGTGGTGGCACACGCCCATAATCCCAGCTACCTGGGGGGCTGAAACAGGAGAATCACTTGAACCCGGGAGGCAGACGTTGCAGTGAGCTGAGATTGCACCACTGCACTCCAGCCTAGGTGACAGAGCAAGACCCTGTCTCAGAACACACACACACACACTACATCATGAAAAAATAGTTTTAAAAAAGCCCCTTAATTTTAATAAGAGCAAAGATACTAGACAGACATTTCTCCAAAGCCACACAAATGGTCAACAGGTATATGAAAAAGGGCTCAATGTCCCTAATCATCAGGGAAATGCAAACCCCAATCACAGTGAGATGTCTTTGTACTCCTGTTAGGATGGCTTCTACCAAAAAAGAAAAATAAATGTTGCTGACGACTTGGAGAAAAAGGAACTACTAAACATGGGAATGTAAGTTGGTGTAGCCACTATGGAAAATAGTAGCGCGGTTTCTTACAACATTACACATACAACGACCACATGACCCCCAAATCCCACTTCTGGGTATATTTCCCAAGAACTGAAATAAGGATCTCAGATGTCTGCACTCCCACATCTACTGCAGCATTATCCACAATTAGCCAAGACATGAACAACCCAGGTGTCTGCTGGGGAATGGGGAAAGCAAATATGGTGTATACACGCAATGGAATATTATTCAGCCTTAAAAAGAAGGAAATCCTGGCATTTGCTACATAGCATGATATCCTTTAGGTTCATCTAAGTGAAGTAAACCAGACACAAGGACAAATCCTACCTGATACTCTTATACTCTTATAAGAATAAGAGGAATCTAAAATAGTCAAGTTCATAGAAGCAGAGAGTGAAATGGTGGCATCAGGGGAGGGGAAATGGGGAAGAATGCAGGGGCAGGAAGTTTCAGCTATACTAGATGAGTGAGTCCTACAAAGCTACTGTACAGGATAGCATCTGCAGGAATCATACTGTGTTACATAAAGTTTACTAAGGGGTAAGTCTTCTGTGTTTTTATCACACAAAATAATAATGAACTTCTGGAGGTGGAGAGATTTATGCCATATATGGTGGTGAAAGTTTCAAGGGCATATAATTATCTCCCAACTCATCAAGTTGTATACATTAGATATGTACAGCTTTTTCTATTGTTGATCATATTAAAAAATAAAAGTGAAGGTATGCACATTGCAGTTGAATAAGGTACATCATATTTGAACAAAAAACAAAAGAGTAAGACATGAGGCTTAGATGCTTTTCACATATGGGAAAGTGTCTATCAAAACAAAGAAAAGGAACCAGCCTGGGCAATACGGTGGAACTCTGTCCCTACAAAAAAAATACAAAAATTAGCCAGGTGTGGTGGTGTGAGCCTATAATCCCAGCTCCTTGGGGCCTGAGGTGGGAAGATCACCTGAGCCTGGGAGGCAGAGGTTGCAGTGAGCCAAAATCGTGCCATTGCACTCCAGCCTGGGTGACAGAGCCAGATCCTGTCTCAAAAAAAAAAAAAAAAAAAAAAAAGAAAGAAAGAAAAAGAAAAGAAAAGGAGCTCAAATACGAATAGACTATTTTCCACAAAAGGAAGAAGAAAACATAATGATGGTATACTTTACCCACCAAAAAAGATGCTCCAGTAATACCTGTCTACAATTTAAAAGTATTTCCTTTTACAAAGTATAACCAGAGAAACTTTTTCAAAATCAAGTAGAAAACAAAGTGTGTGCTATGCTGTATTTGCTCAGTTCCCAAGCATACCTTGAATCACTTATATTCAACAAATTGCTCATGTTTTTATTCAAGTATGTACAATTAGGCAACCTGAAAAAGGAACTGATAGGCATAATTTTAAGTGACTAAAACATTTGGACAACACAGGTAATTCAAGATTAAGCAAAAATTAATCAAACTATGTTTTCCCCTCTGATAATCTTCTTGAGCTCCTAGGGGAGGATTAACAAAATCTTTTGTGAAGAGAAAAAATATTGCTGAGTTTTAATCTTAAAAGTTTTATTCTTTATGTGGAATAGTTCATGTAAAACAAAATTAATTAGTGAATACAATCACAATAATAAAAAGCCAATGCCATTTATTTAAATTACAAATCCAGACCAGGAGTATGTGCAGCTTTGATTATTACATGCTATGATTACAATAGAGGGGAGTTTTGAGATTAGCTTAAAACAAAAGTCAAGAAAAGTTTTTGGAAAGAAATAGCACAAGTCATTGCAGTAGGTATTTGAAACACTACAAAGACAGTTTTATCATTGCAACATAACCATATTTATATGATTGCTCATTCTACTTTTTCCTGTTTTTCAGTACCTAAGTAGGTCTTAAATTCTTATGAATTTCTATAGTAATCCTATGTACTAATGCACAAAAATAGAACTGCTTTCAAACAACAGGGAGAAATAGAGACAAAATTGAATATTAAGCATATGCTGTTTTGTACCATCTCTTTAGTCTAATGTCTCACCAGGGAAAAAAATATGAAAAAAGTTGCAAAGTCCTCCACCTATTATGGGAATTCCTACACAAATTATGTTCACCTAACAGATGGGAATATTCATTGTAAGTCTATTGTTTATAAACACACATTTTTAAGCAGGCAAAGTTTCCTGGCTCTTTACAAGAAAGTATGATAAAATCTTAGCACCATATGCCACTAAAATATAGAAAATGCCTGTTCCTGTTTCAAATCAACACAGCAGGGAATGTTTGCACTCACTCTATCAAGGCAGAATTCTACTCAACGAACACAGTGTTTTCCAGGGCCAGTTCATCATCAGGAATGGCAAAGAAAATAAAACACAAAATCCAAACAAAAACCAAGGCTTAAATGTCCATTTCTGCTAATAGGAGAAAGCCTCAGTTGTGACCTGCATCTCTGAGAGGACCACTGGAACAACGCTAGAATTTCTCTAGGAAGCAGCATCAGGTCCATCTCAGACCAGGAACAATTGCTTGGACTAGACATCTGACATGTTCAGTCTACCTAGGAGCTGAACCACTTCCCTGTATTTGGAGAATTCTCCACCCTATGAGCTTTTGTGTAGATGGGGCTTATCTCAATTAAAGGCTGAAAGGACCACATCTGGAGATTCCCAGACCACTGCCTCCACAGGTACCAGGTCTGACACATAGCATGGCCAATTAGACACACTTGCTCTGGATTTTTAAATCTGGAGCTGGTGATGCCCAGGAAGAGGGCTAAAGGAGAACTCATCTGACAGCAGCAGTGGCAGCAGTGGTGGGGGCACAGGGGAGCCCTAGTCCAAGGGAGTAGTGGAGTGTCCAGTGCCAACTGGGGCAGTGGCTCAAGCAGTGATGGCCAGTGTTCGGAGGGGCCAGCAGCAGGACCCTCATGGGACCGGTTCTGGAGTGACTGTGGCTCACTCTGTTCATGCCCAATCTCCAGGTTGCCCAGTGACTGACTCTAAGGGTACCCCAATATCCACGCAACAGCTCACACAAGAGAAAGTTGGTTTCTGTGGCTTTAGAACCCTTCAAAATTCCACGCCCTAG